ACGTTCCCATGTCGCGTTTATGAGTTATTTCTTATTCGTAAAATCATAAAACAATGTCAATTTCTACACTTACGTGGACATAGGAAACAGTTCATTTCAAAAATTCATTGTTCTACTATGTTCCTTATTTCAGGCTGATTATAGGGGAATTAAGCGAAATATTAGTGAGGGCAGCAGCCAGCAAATCAGTGAGCAGCGCAGAGCAAGCGAGCGAGCGATTTCAAAGAAATAACGAAATCGCAGTGGACGTTCAAGATGGTTTCTGAGAAAGAATCATCAGCGAAGGCTTCGATACGGCTCGAGAATGAGCCTGCAGAGGAGACCTCAAAGTTACAACCCGAAATAACACCTGCATCAGCCCCACCAAAGCCAAAAACTGTTGATGATTTTCTGAAACTTGGCCTATATACCTTATACGCGGGTATCACTGCCGAATTTGTATTGTTCAATATGCTCAGCAATATGATTTATATGGTTTATTCAGGTAATAACTCAACCGTAAACGTTCGTCCATTTTGGTTTCATTTGATTTTTTCATGCGTTCGATTATAAATTTCGCAATCATTTGAAATGCTGCCATTTGTGGCTGGCAAATACATGCAATATTCGAATGTAAAGCAATCAGCCAATATTACTTCGCATATGCAGGGAACCAAATGAGTTGATTTCCGAAGGCAGCATTCTCCGATTAGAAGAAACTTCACCTTATTTGTTAGCACACAACAAATGAAATCATATTGTAATATTGCAATCGTTTTTTTCAAGCAGTGTTCATCTTACAACCATTCGCTGATAACTGATAAAAACACATTTTAAAACGCTTTGAAACATTCGTAGAATTATAATTTTTTATGCGGCAAATCAACTTTTCCGGTAAAAATGGTTCCAATGTTGCAGTTCATTCGGTATCATTTTCTTTATTTTATGATGCTATCGCTCTGTTTGAAGGAGATGCAAATCAATTGTACAAAAACGAATCCAAATTGAGCGATATTATCAGATTGGTGTTGACTGTGAAACGATTTAGTGAAAAGAAAGCTTAATTAGAACGAAGATGATCAAGGAAATATTTGTTGCTTACAGGTGCTGCTCCGGTGGTTGTTAGTTGCGGAAACTATTATGCGAATACAACCGATGGTGATATCTGCCAGCAGTATAATCAGTGGCGATCATCTGGGTGCAAACCCGTACTCGATTATCAGTTCTTATCGTTTAATGTTGAGGTGAGTATTCATTCATTCGAATTTCACTTCATCACATTCATTTCTCACTATCTTTTCAATAGTCTAAACCTCGATGTTCCTATCACGGATGTCCACGATCGAATATGTTCTCATTGTTCATTTGTTGTGTCTGTTGATAAATGCAAAACTTTCAGTATGACTATATATGCGGTGAAGCGAAATATGTCAAAAACAGTATATCAGTACAAATGTTGGGTATTTTGATTGGTACCCTCGTATTTGGACAAATGAGCGATTCGTTTGGACGAAGAACGGTAGCAAATAACCGTTTCAGTCAATAATATCTTTATAACAATCCCTACTACCTTACAATTATGTGATATCCAAAAATGTCATCGCAAAATCTGATCAGCTGTGCAGACTAAATCAAATGACAATATCATCATTATCCATCAGTTATTCTATTGCAAGATCATGCTGCTGTAATATTGATTTCATTCAGAGTTTGAGATTCACATATGACATCCAGTACTGTCCTATATCTCCATGAGTCGACATTATCTTGCGCAATTGAGCTCAGTGTCAAACTTTCAGGTGCTTTTGATCACCAGTATTGCTGCAATAATACTGGGTGCAGTTGGATCGTTCGCCGGCTCTCTAGTCTCGTTTACTATATGGCGTTGTATCACGAGTTTCTTTGCTGGTGGCGAAATTATGTACGTTATCCGTTTTTCATACTGAGTCCCACTTGAGCATATACGATACTTGTTCATATACTGAAATCAATTCAATTAATATAATTTGGTGATGTTCTGTCATATTTTCGACAAGTTTCTATCCAACTATTTTTACCGCTTCAATTCTTCATGATCAAAGCATTGCGCAAATGAATTGATCGCAGTTTTTACTGGAATCGTTTCCATTTCAAATTTTAGTGTTTTAATGGTGTATTTGATGGAACAAGTGCCTAAAGCCCATCGTTTGTGGATCTCAACTGTGGTCACTTGGTCACCAAACTTTATCATCCTTGCCGGAGTGGCTTACATCTCATACGATTGGCGAACACTTGCCCGAGCGATCAGTATCATTTCGCTACCAGTTGTACCACTTCTTTAGTACGCTTTTACTTCTTCCATTCATTTCGATTATCAGTAACTGAATGATTTATCATTCAATGAAATAATAATAATAAATCAAACATCAACACTTCATAGTTCACAAGTACCGACCCACACAGCTCTATGTTCTAACAGATCAATTCGCAAATTTCAGTTTCTCACACGAAAGCCCCCGCTGGTTATTCCAAAAAGGTAAGGTGGATTCACTAAGAAAGGCGCTCGTTCGAATTCGTGGTGGTAAAAAGGATGAGAAGGAGGACGCTGAGATGGAACGGATGTTTCAACAGGCTGTGGTTTGTATATTCATTATGAACAGAATCTGTGCTCTGCGATTATATTTATCTGACAGACCTTTTAGTATTATATCGTGCGATTATAAAATTCATCCACTTTTGCATTCCATCTAGTGCAGTGGTTCTCACATTCGGGTTTTCCATTACCCTTTCTGATGATCCGGCAGGCCGCCGTTCCCCCCTTCCTGATACAAGAACACATACTCAGGAAATAGGAGAATGAAGAGTGTTGCCATCAACTAGCAGCATTTACTTACCCAAGTTAAAAAACACCATCACAATGGCGTTCCATCATAAAATAGCAACTGCACGAAGAACTAATTTCTCGACCCCCTCCACTACTCCCGGACACCTCCAAATTACTCAAAATGGGTAACTCCATTCCCTATGAGAACCACTGATCCAGAGTGTCGCTGATGAATGATTCCCTCACGTACAATACTCATTGAAGCACTTTGTTTTTGTTCATTAGATCGAATCAGTTTCACTGATTTTGATAACATCTTCAGATCTGTTCGTTTGTCTAATGAATGTTTAATGTTCCCAGATGTCTTCAGAACAACGCTAAGAAATTTTTATTTCCAGGTGAACGCCGATATGCATGAGAATCGCCAGCAGCATTACATCTACCATTTATTCTATACTTGGGAATTGACTTTATATACGATCGTCCTCTCCTTTGGAATGTTCGTAATATATCGTTTCTGTGCGCTTCCAGTTTGGAGTACACGATCATTTCACAAATCACATTTGTGAATTAGCTCTATTCGAAATGTGCATGGATTTCGGTTTGATAGAACTGAAATCGCTTTCAGAAATATCACAAAAAATCAATTATAAATCAAACAGTAATATCTCTATGTTTAAAAATATTCACACATATCAGGTTCGTCACAAGTATCACCAACTACGGTTTACTGTTCAACATGGAGAAGTTGTCCGGATCGATCTATCTGAATTCGGCGTTTTTCGGTTTGTTCAGATGGTCGATGAACATCGTGGCTGGTGCGTTGGACTATTTTTGTAAGAGTATCGGTCGTAAGTCGATTCACTTCTTTGCGATGGCCTTTATTGCTGCTGCAGTTGCGATCGCGTTTGCTGTCTACACATTAAGTAAGTTGTTGCTACCGTTTCGTTTTGACTTTGAATCACTTTCGAATCGATCATTCATTTGATCATTTGATCAAATGATCAAATGAATGATTTACTTCAATTTGTTTGAAAAGTACCATTTTTACAATGTCCAATGTTGATATGTGAAACTGTGGATGTCTTAAACAGTGAAAACTGTTGATATGTTTGGATCAGCACTTTTCATTGTTTACTATATCCACAGTTTCTTGTCCAATTATTATACCATATCATGCTTGAAAGGGTCCTTTCTTGATCACAAAATATAGTCGTTTGCTGGAGTTACAGACACCAAAATAAGTCTGCACACATCAATTGATGGAATTGAATTTGAAGAATCAGCATCGAAAACGCTTTCAGAATTGAACGATTGGATGTTTTTGGTGAGGTATTGCGCACTCGCTGCGGCTGCAATGTGTTCACAGTTGTATTTGACAAAAACAGTAGTGATGGTCGAGTTGTATCCGACGGCCGTTCGAAATATTGCAACGTCGTTCATGGGATTGTTGAGCCGAGTCGGCAATATTCTTGCACCTCAACTCTTCTATTTGGTCAGTCCTTCCTTTCTAATCGTAAATCTATTCTTTCAGAATAAACTCGCCAAAATTCCATTCCGATATGTTGTATTTTGTGTAGTCGAAATCGCATCGGAAACATGATTTGCATACTGGAAAGATATTCACTTGAATTGATTCTTGAAACCTCTCTTGAATATGGAGAGGATCAGCCCTTCAGAAGCATTGTAGAATAAAAGTATCCATCGAATAAACCTTTTTTNTTTTTTCTCGTATTTCAGGCTGATATCTGGATTCCACTACCATACCTAACGATGATGTTGTTGGCATTGATCGATTTGTTCGATTTCCAAATATTTATTCCCGAAACGAAAGGCAAACCTCTCAAAGATCATTTACCGCCTCCTGAAGAATGCATTTGGAGACGGAAAAAATTATCCGCTGAAAAACAAGAATCTTCGAATGCAAAAGAGAACGCTGTTTGATTGCGCGATACGATATACCTGGTTCTATAAAACTTTATTTGTATCATTTCGATTGTTTTGCATCATTCTCACCGTTTCTCTAGTTCATCTTCATTCACGTCTAATCATTTTCACGTTCTGGTCATTTTGATCACCTGATGCGATTTATATTTCTATTATAGCCATTCAACAATGATCAACGAAATCTTTTACTGAAATCATCGATCAGTTTTTGCGTGTGCGTTATTTCTCGGTGAAACGTTAGCAATTCGTGTCATTATCGTCAGTTCCAAGTGATGTTTTTTGATATCATCATCGTTATCTTGTCGCGATTATCACTTCCCAGTGATATTATTTATTGATGTTATCATGTCGATCGATCACTTTCTTAGAAACTATTTTCATTCTTTGTTACTATATTACTATGAATACCTGTTATATACTCAGTGTTTTTGATACGTTATTGTATCGTACTAATTTACTAATTCTTACATTTCAGTCGCGTTATATTGCACCGAATTTTTATGCTTGTCTTCAAGAAACTGAAATGAGAGTAACTGTTAACAATAAGCAATTGTAAATAATAATGATAAAGTTTTTACAATCAAATAAATGATAAAATTTTTATATGCATAAGTACTCTCTTATCTCTTTAACAGCGAACGAACGCATGACTCACGTCTACTGATACTGAACAGACTATTCCAGTGGTGAGGCTACTGACTTCAATTCCCAAAAACTTGCCTAACTGTGATAATTTTCAATTGTCGACGATGCAATGTCGACGACGATGCAAGTGTAGAAACGAGGAGAATATT